CCCTAACAATCCTTGCAGGTCATATTTGCCTACGTGTTGATGTAAGCCCTGGGGGCCAACATTACAATGTAGATTCCAGGAGCCCACGGAAAGCAAACATCGAACTATCGAGTGTCGAATTCATCTGCAGCCATTTGCTGCTGAAGTTATGGTGATGATACCTCTGGTTTTGGGCCAGGATCTCAATCCGTTGTTTGCAGTTTCAACTTGAATTATTTTTAGGTCTGCTCTTTCTCCAGGTCATGTCGTGGGTGCATGAAGCGAGCTGCACTTAACGGCCCTTTCCTGAGTGATTAGTCAAGAACAATCCAAAAGTTGAGAAGTTCCCCATATACAACCCTTGACTTTTCAGGTCAGTGGGGTGCATCATCGAGGACGTCCAGGAGAAAAACATCGGATGATGTTGGTGCGCTCCCCCCCATGGGAGAAGTCTTGTAAAGATTCGATGCACTTTACAGTTTGAACTGAACAACCTTTTGGACGGAAGGTGAATGAACCATGCATATGTTGCCTACTTGATATAGGGAGTTCGAATGGAAGTTCGAAGATGCTTCAAAATTCCATACATATTTGGATTCTTGGCTGTGTTGCACTCATACACTCCGTTCCCTCAGCATGAAGTGCATTTTCTTCAGCAATTTTGATGTTCACAGCTGCAGCGCTTTGGTGAAGTGCACCCAATCTCCTGCTTGGCCGCGCGATGGCCAGGATCCAAGTAAACTCACCCCTTGCCAACACAATTCAATCTTTGAAGTGAGTACTGCAGGCTTCTGATATTCCCATGGAATCCTATGAACACATGCTGGAGGACAAAGTCTAAGCAGCACCAATTGGGATAGGATTTGCACCTGTGCTGCAGGACATGGTGAACAGTTTTATCATCCAGAAGGTTGACCTGCACAAGGTTCGGAATGATCCAAACAAGGCCCTGTTTGACTTGACAGACTGTGTTGGCCCGGATTGTGCACGGGCATTGGAGCAGAACTATTTGTGGGTAATTGAACTGACTGCGACCCTTTCTGGTGCTGATCCATGGCCACCACACAGATCCTTTAAGGCTGGACACCAGTTGAAGTCATGCATGTTGCACAGTGCAGTTCTGTGTTCTGCGTGTGCGCTGTTCCAAACATGCATGTATTTCTTGCAAAGGATATCTTCTACAAATTGGCGCAGCTCTATGGTATCTTTCCAGAAGGGACCACCAAAAGAATGATCAAGGAAAACCTCGTGCATGTGTGAATTGTGGTTTGTTTTGTGTATACTACTAGTTGCTTGTGTTTGCAGGATTGGGCATCAGTAACAGGTGGTACTGGTCGAGCTTTGGGTGTTCACGCAAAAGACTTGGCGGCTCGTGGCGCCTCCTCAAGGCTTGGTCTCACACAGCAAAAGTGCAAACGTGATGAGCCAAACAATATTAACGTTAGTCTGTTGAGCGAGCTGTGCATAAATAGGAGCTGGCAAATTCGCTTGATCAAGCAATGCGTGCAGCAATCTCAAGCAGGCAGGTTTTTGAAAGGCTCTTAAACTGCAACTTGCAATCCACTTGAACTGTGCATCGATGCTGGCAGTTTCTCCTTCAGGTGGTGTAGCTCCACATGTGGAACTCTTGCAGCAAATTTCCCAGGACACTAGGATGTTGTCACACGACCAAATCCCCGACTGCTGTTTCTACAGGATGCGACTGTTGAAGCTGATGCTCCCTTGTCATCGGCGCCCGTTGGTCCTGAGGTGTGTTGCTTATTTGGGATTGTTGTTCCATTTGACTGTGGGTCACTCCATCAAAATACAAACCCATATAGCGAATACTTGCCAAGGTCAAGATCAGCGAGGAGACCGCTGAGATTGCTGAAACATGTTCCCAGGCGTGCTCGGCTTTGGTCAATAAAGTTGGTGTTCACGTTACGCCTCAAACTTGTTAGGCTGATATTGAGATGAAAGTGATGGCAAGTGCAGAAGAGATGCACGAGGCCAACTAGTTCCTGAAAGCAACTATTCAGAAATAGGCTAGAACAACATCTTTGCTGCTTTTGAACCATTTCTTGATGCCCAAATATTTGTGTATCCCTTCTTCAGGAGGATGAACCTTTGGAGGCATCTGCTCAGTCGGCACATCGCCAAGCACACAAGGACGGCCATTACATTATTCAATGTACAGCCTTGCATCCAGACTTTCATGAATACGTTTCCAGGCAACTGTTGTGACCACTACTGGACTGCCACATGGTCCCCCCCAAAAAGTAACCCACCCCTTGCCCCCTTCCCTTCCACGTCTCCGGGAGCGCTGGTTTTGGGTGTGTGCGTGCGCGCTCGAACCCAGACACGAGACCCAAATCATGGTGGTACGGTCTGTCTTGAGATGCCTTGAGATTGGCATTTTTTTGCTAATACAGTACACAGCTTTGCTAGTCGCAACGCATGTTGGTGGTAGGTTTATTTTTTACACCCTGTATATTGGGCTTGTGCAGGAGAAAACACCTCTCCTTCCTTGTGCTATCACATTGGACACGTCCCTGGAGAAGCAGGCCATCATTCTGTCCTCAACCATTCTCGGCGGTCTTGGAGAGCAAGACCTCGTGAAGGCACACAACAAGGTTGGGTTGGTTCCCAAATCAATCCTTCAGAACTCATCCAAAACAAACAGCTTCTAGTGTAGTGATTTGTTGATTATCGTTTTACCCAATCTAGTCTCTCTTGGTATTCTTCCTTGGAAAGGTCTTGAATGCGGCCCGTGGTGAGAAGCGGCCATCTGAAACAGCGGAAGGTGAGGGTTCTGGCAAGAAGCCCAAGGCAAAAGCCAAGGCAAAAGGTCGGGCTGCAAAGCCGGCTGTTCCACCCGCTGAATCCAGCGCAGCTTCCACGACACTGGTGGGCAAGGGTGAACCACTCGGGGTGGGTGAGAGTGGTGAGGGTGGTGAGGGTGGTGAGATGCCTGGTGAGCCTGAGAGAAAGAAGACCCGAGCCACAACAGACCCACAAGTGCTTCAGCAAGTTTGGGCTGAGAAGGACTGTTCAGTTCCGAAACCGACCGCTTTGAAGCATTAATATTATGTAAACATTACCAAAAGATGGTTACGTTTAATAAAGGTAAAGGGGAAGCAATGTTTTTCGTCTGTGGTTTCTGTTCAGTTCATCCTCCCATTGGGCTCAATCTTGGCATCTATCTTTGCTACGATTTGGTTGGAGCTGTTTGCAGGAGTCTATCCTTCGTGATGCAGGTGTACCAATCCCAGAGTCCTACCAGCCAACGAGGAAGTCTTACACCCTTTACGACCCGAATGGAACTGGCAGTGGACTTCAGATATTGTTTGAAGCCCAGTAACATGTTGGTGGAAACTAGCTGGCATCGATTTAGGGATATGTGATATCAAAATTGGTTTGGTTTGGTTGGGCATGCTGTAACTACAGGGATTGCTGCCCAGGTGGTTTCAGAACCAGATCTATGTCAATGAGGTGCAGGTCATGCTGGATGGCTTCAAGAAGAATAACAAAGATGGGTGCACAATCAGTGTGCAGAAGCGAGGGGGATGGGGAAGTTCGTTTCATAGTGCCAAACAAATGGCCAAATGGGATTAGGATGCATTAGGCACGCCGTTGGAATCTGTTGGAATTGCACGTATGAGACTTAAACATATATACAACCGTGTCAAAACCTTCGTGTTCTCATGTGTCAATACCTACAGGTATTTCAATCACTTTCTCCAGGAGAGCGGCTTGCCGTGTAGGGTATCATTTGTGACCAAGCGCACGTGAATGCTAGTAGAGCAGTACCGGATGCACTTGGCTGGGGACACATATCTGAAAGTGCGGGAAAGGAAAACAACAACTATGCCGCCTGTTGCCCGTGTGAACTGCCTACATTACATGCATTTTGCATGCTACAGTGGCAGGCTGCAGTGTGCCACATATATATCTACTTTTGATTTCCTGCAGTTTTTTTACCCAAAGGCTTTCCGGCAGCTAGTCACCATGCCAAAGGGACGTGGTATCCAGCTGAGCGCGCGGGAGTGCAAGCTCCTTCTATTCCTCGGGGCACCGGTCCTACTGACCTTTAGCTGTATTGAAGCGTGAAACACGGAAATGAGACTAGTGCAAAAAGAACTCATAAGAATCAGGAAATAATATTTGTTTCTCAATCATTCAGGCAACCATTATTTGTCATGATGTACAAGACATGATCCTACCTGCCTGGCTGTCCCAGGATTCACTTGTGTGACTTTATCCATCAAGTTGGAGAAGCGGAAGGCCGCAATTGGCAAAGGGTGGGTGGCCAAGAAGACTTGCACACCATTATATTGGAATCACTCAAATATCACAAAATCTTTGGGGTGGGGGAGCATCTTACAATAATATATATAGAGCTAAGGATTTGGATCTGCTAGAGCTATTCAGCGGAGAGTCCGTTCTGACAAACACATTCAGCTTCAATCTCAGTCCGTGAAGATGTTTCACACTTCAAGTTATTTCAAGCTAGGTGAGACATGACATGCTGCCAAGGGGCTGCCAACTATCGTGCGTCGAGGGCTCAAGAGGTGAAGATAGCCTTTCTTTGAAGGTCCTGTCGTTGGCTCATTCCCAGGCAGTGGTTCGACATTGCTGGTCGTGGGGAGGACAACAATGTCTTGGAATGTCAAGGCTTCATGTTTGCCTTGAGGGATACTCTGAGATTATCCCCGGGCGCACTTTTATTTGCCGGAGTTCCTTGTTCGAGGTTTCTCGACTTTTCGGTTTATTCATATATTATTGACAATCGCAATCAACTAGAGCATATAGTTTGAACTTCTTCATGTTGATGTTGTGGTGGTGGTGATGTGGTGGTGCTTTGGTCACATCTAAGTTGGGTTTGGATATCTTCTAATACCCATCAGCGGTACAGCAGCATTCTTGGAGATGATCGATCCTGGGCTAAGAGACTGGACCGACTTTGAATATGAACATCAACACTATACAGCTATAGTGCAAATACCCCAGAACACCAGTAGTTTCCCCAGTTCCTGAGGAGAGAAGTTTGTGTATGAAGCGAACCAGCTGACTGCACGATTCGCACTCCTATGCTTGGTGTCCTATGTGTTAGGAGCCCATCATTGTGCGACCTGTCAGCTCCAACTTCTTGTGGGTGGAACCAGCAACACATATGCTTCAAAGTATGCACCAGCTAAGGTAGAGCAACCCAGCTCAAGCCAATTGATTTACTTCCCATATCTTCAATTTGTTTGGAAGGGCAACATTGCAATGTTCAAGCGATTGTGACTTGGGACCGATTATCTTTTTTTGGTGCACAGATTCACCAACATCTTTGACAGTCCGCTCAAACTAAGATTGTATTTAGACACTTAGTCATACTTGTTGCACTCAGCTGGATGTGCAATTTTGACCACTTCTCCTACAAGCCATCATACTTGGTGGGAACAGCGTGGGTGCCCAAGCATGTGCACATGATAAAC